ACCAAGGCCTGTTGACCACACACCTCAGTGCATATTTCTTAATCAGGTTCTAAGATTTACACTGTAATAAAGCATCTGCTAACCTTGTAACATGCAGCCTAAGCCTGCCAACGGTGTTTTCATTACCACAGCGGCTCGTAACATGCAGGTTCAATTTTTTTTATAAATTCAGCTCCTTAAGTGGTATTAGCTCTCTTTCTATAAGCTTCTCTATCTGTCCTTCCTCTGCTTCTCATGGTCAGTCTTGCACATAGGTTTGTAGATTTTCAATCCTCTAAGGATGACACTGTTTTCTTTATGCTGATCAACCGACACATTTTAAATAATTTTCCAATTGTTTTGCCAAGTCTTGACATTTCCACATATGATTTCAAAATTTTGATACTTATTCAATACCATCTTCCTCAACATTTTACTTCCCATCCTTAAGCTACTAATTTTTTCTTCAACCAGATAAGATTAAAGTTTTTCTTTGTAATTTCTTTTCTACTTCAGCTAATTTCATACTTTTCAGCCTATGTTGTGAACTTTGGCTTCATTCTGCTCTGTTTCAGGACAGGAATTAAGCTTTTCTGTTTGCTGCTAATTCATAACGCGCCTGACATGTTTCTGGAAAGTAGGTAAACCCCCCTTCAAAATTTCTTTATACATTTTTCTAGAAACTTGGGAGACATTATATTAAGACCCTTCTAGTGCCCACATTCAAGACATTTTTTGATATCATGTATGGTTTGGCTGTGCAGCTTTTAAGATGAGTTTGTTTCTGCCATTTTACTGCCAAATGATTCTACCCTACAAAATCTTCAGATGATTCAATTGTTTTCTGCAGTTTGAAGTTTTCTGATGACTTCCTATCACATTTTCATATGTTCTTCAGGAAATTTCAGCTTTTTTCATTCAGCAAAAGCATTCCCACTTTGATGTTTCTCCGAAACAGCTTTTTCTAGTTATTATTATTATCAATATTATTATTATTATTGTCATGATGGTTATTATTAATATATTGTAGCCAGTCACAGCAGGGAAGCTCTATACCATCAACATATAACAGGACAGGAGATGAGGAAGAGTTCAGGGAAGACACAGAGACAGAAAAAGACCAGGATGAGGGACAACAGATGGGTGAGGGAAAACAGGGAGATGAGCCAGATGAAAGAAGTATGCTTTAGTCTGTTCTGTTGGTGATGTGACTTTTTTCCATTGAAAACTCACGTTTTGAGAATGTTACAAATAAAAGTCAAATTTCATTCAACATGCGTTTATTTTTTTTTATAATTAAGTGTTACACGTGCGCTAAAAAGTGCCCTCCCCCCCCTCCTGAGCACCTGCCCCCCAAAATGTCTGTGCACGCCTCTGATGACAGCAGACAAGATAGAGGAGAGCAGGAGACGGGGTTACCAATCTACTTGCTCTGGAGAGCAGAGTTAGCTGCTCTTAGATGTTGTCTCCAAAGTCTCCAGTAGCAGAAAAAAGTCAGAGATTTGGCGCTAGGCGTTGCTGGAGGGGTCTGAAAAGTCTGAAAAGTCGCTAAATATAGCGACTAAAGCGCAACACTGCTCTTTGCATCATTTCTTTTCAAATGGTTTGCTGCTGTCTGTTTGGACCTTTCTGAACATGTGCAGCAAATGGACTGATCCAATATGGTGGACACTTGAGGGGGGGGGGGGGGGGGGGGGGGGGGGGGGGTCAGCTGGGAGACACTTACAGTTTTTCTGGATTGTTTACACACATTTCTGAAAACATGCCTCATATTCTCAGAACTCTTCACACAAATCCAACAAACACACACACAATGGGCAAAACCCTTCAAATCTCCTGCAAAATGAAACTTTACATTCAAAACAGTTTTATCTCTTCACAAAAGGCCATTTTGTGTTCAGATGACACACACAAACTATCATATGAACAGACAATTAAAAAAAGCATTTAAACACTGATGTGCTCAGTGTAAAACACCATTCTCCATTCATCATAATGACTTTTTGTTCAGTGTTACAGTTACTACAGACATTAAATACATAAGTGCGTTGTAAAATACTTTAGAATATTGTTTTTATACTCAGAACACACAAATATACTGTAAAAAACATGTTTTATTTTTGCCACAAAACAATGTACACAGTGTACATCCCAACCGACACAAAGTTGCACATACAGTGCAGAAGATTTTACTGTATACAGTTACAGTAATAATAAAAAAAACAAAACAAAATAAACTATGCTGCATCCTCTCTTCTGTTTCGGTCTGGCCACAGCACCTCATCTACATCACAAGCAATGTTTTCCCTGGCCAAGCAGCGGGGGAAATATTGCCTAGCATGGCGAATCCAGCCATGAAAAGCATCAACTGCTATATCTCCACATGCGTCTTCCATAGCTTGGAAAAGGGATATACGCGTTTCTGAATTTAGGTCGTACACTTTCCATCTCCAGGCAGAAAAAAATTCCTCAATAGGATTGAGGAATGGAGAATATGGAGGGAGATAAACAACTGAAAAGCGTGGGTGGTCAGTGAACCAGAGCAGCCCGGTGGAAGCTTACGTTGTCCCAAATGACAACGTACCTGAGCTGCTCTGGGCCGTCTATCTGATCTGGTGGAATGAGTGTGTTGTGTAGGGTGTCCAGGAATGTGATCAGATGGGCAGTGTTGTAGGGGCCAAGGGTAGCATGGTGATGGATGATGCCATGGTCGGTCATCGCTGCACACATTGTGATGTTCCCTCCGTGCTGGCCAGGGACTTCAACAATGGCACGCTGGCCGATTATATTCCTTCCCCTCCTTCGTCTTTTTGTGAGGTTGAATCCAACCTCATCAATGAAGAAGAACTGGTGCTCCACTGCATCCACCTCCAGCTCAAGGACTCTCTGAAACACACATGACAATATCAGAAGTAGACATGGAGCGGTCACTATTGTGAAGCACAATCATTATGATTACAATATAATAGAAAGAAATATGTATGATTTATACAATGTTGACAGTATGCATCAAGGGTGGGAATGTATAGGACGTACTTGCACATAGTTATATCGCAATTCTTTGACTCTTTCTGAATTGCGCTCAAATGGCACCCTGTAGACCTGCTTCATCCTCAGTTTATTTCTGTGCAAGACACGGTCCAGCGTTGATAAACTTACCCTATCAATATTTTGAAATATCTCATTGTTTTCTATTGTTTTTCTTTATATTTGTCGTAAGGTAATGGCGTTATTTTCAAGAACCATGTTCATGATCTCTGTTTGCTGTTCAGGAGACAGAAGACGGCCCCGTCCACCTCTTGTTGGTAATCTTTCAGTTCTGCAATACAAAGAGTGCAATACTGTAAATACTGTGTAGGAATACATTTCCCAAATACTCGAAACACAATGTCCTACAAAACAGTCCACAGGTAATACTGTACTACTGTACTCATTGAGTACTGTATTGATATGCAGTACTGCAGTTTTGTAGTGAGAGTAGACATGGTCAACCAAAGTGGCTCGGAACTCATCAGACATGATTGTCCTTGGCCTTCCTCGTCCTCGTCCTCGTCCTCGTCCTCCCCATCGTCCTCCTCTTACTCTCACTCCTCTGGCTCTGGCTCTGCCTCTGTTTACAACATTGGCCTCCATTGCTCCAAAACAGAAGAGCTCACCTGTTGCCATTTTATGCTAAAGCTCTGATTGCTGAGTGGAAACATGTGTGTTAGGTGTTTGCCCATGTGAGGAGTCAGTGTGCATAGTAGGGAAATTAACTTTAGAGTTTTGAATAACAGTGTGTTCCTTGTGAAAACAAAAGATTTTCTTTATGACAATTGTGTGTAGAGTTTTGGAAAAAGTGTGTTTTAGAACTGCAATTTGAGTGTAAAGCAGGAATTGTGCTTGTAGTTTAGCAGAATTGGTTCAGGGGGTTGGTGCATGAGTTACATTTTGTGGTCATTGTGTTTCAAGTACCAATATTTGTGTGTAAACAATCAAGAAAAACTGTAATATAACTTTGCTGCCTCTTGGTCAGGACTCCTTTGAAAAAGAGTTTTTTAATCTCAGTGGGATTTTTTCAGCCCTGGTTAAATAACAAAAAATGAAAAATAATATTATAAGCGTTCTGATGGCATTTTAGTACGGAAGAGGGCCAGTGGGAAAAAAAAAAAAAAAAGTTAACTGGTTTTAAAATTTTATTTCGGTTTAGTCTCAAAATTCTGACTTTCTTCTCAAAATTCTGACTTTTTCCTCAGAATTCTGACTTTTTTCTCAGAATTCTGATTTTTTTTATTGTCAGAATTCAGTCAGAATTCTGAGATTAAAGTCAGAATTCTGAGAAAAAAGTCAGAATTCTGAGATTAAAGTCAGAATTCTGAGATTAAAGTCAGAATTCTGAGAAAAAAGTCAGAATTCTGAGAAAAAAGTCAGAATTCTGAGAAAAAAGTCAGAATTCTGACTTTTTTCCTATACTAAACTGAAATAAAATTTTAAAATCAGTTACCTTTTTTCTTTTTTTTTCCACTGGCCCTAATCCTCTTCCGTATTTTTAGCGAAAGGATCTTTATCATAAACATAATTAATGTGCACAAATAGGAAGATTTATATTACCTATACACCGCCTAGAATTAGTAGGCATCAGTGATGACGTCACGCTGCGTAAAGAAACAGTCCTGAAAGTGAAAGAAGTGTGAAAGCTCACATTTTACCGAGAAATGAAACCAAGCCGGATGATGATATTAACTTCCTGTTTTCAGTGAGGAACCCAACGGTGCCTGTCAGTCTTAGGTTTCTATTTCTCCACCTCCGGTAGAAGGTAAGATCTTGTCTTTTACAGAGACTAACCGTGCCTTTAAAATGCTTTTAACAACTGTAAAATAATGCAAACGATCATTTAAAAGCCTATATTTGAAATAGTTTTGTCTAATTTTTTAGAAGTTAGTTAAAGAAAAGTTTTACTGAATTTTTTTTTTTTTTTTTTTTTTTTTTTTTTTTTACAACATCTTTCTGTTTAAGTCCTTTGTTTGGTATTAATATTTTCCATGTTTAATCGTTTTGGTTTAAAGCATGTTTAAAGATCCAAATCTGTGCAATGAGCTGAATTAACTGCTTTATCTTGCAGCTGTGGGATGTCAAGCATCTAAGCGTCCAAGTCAACACTCATGTAAGCTTACGTGATGAAGAGATCTTTCTTTACCTGAAGATGACTCACTGCTGACTGATTCTCTCCACCTTTTCCTGGTTAGACCTTCCTAAACCATGGCTGCAGATAGACTGGGGGTGAGATCTGTTGGTTTGGGCTCAAAGTTGTGTAGATCTGTCAACTAGAAGTATTCCTGTATTAGTAATGAGTATTTATATTTTTCCGTTTCACCAGCAGATGTCTCCAACTTCCACATAATATCAATAAAATACTGTTTTGTTTTCCTGAGTAGAGACAAATCCTCTAAACTGGAGTTCCTAAAGGGTTTCCAACCTCAGGCTGAAGGTCAGCAGCTCAGGATTCTTCTCCATGGTCCATCTGGAGCTGGAAAGTCCAGCTTCATCAACTCTGTCAACAGTGTGTTACAGGGAAAAGTGATCCGCATTGCTCCTGTGAATAATGCTGCTCAGGCTAGCTTCACTAAAAAGGTAAAACAAGAGAAGGAAATTATAATCTGAGATTAAAAGCTGTATTTGTCACTATACATCTTTGATTGATCTGCAGAACACAAGTTACAGGATTAAGAAACCAAATGAGGAAAGTTTTTACCCTTTTGTGTTAAATGACACAATGAGCCTGAAGACAAACAGCAGCAGGAGAGTCAGAAGGGTTCACGTAAAGGACATGAAAAAGGCGATGAAGGGCCACATCAAAGATGACTATACGGTAAAGTCTCTACGAAACGGGAGAACATTTTTTATCTGATTTAAATCTGAAATACCGTAAATTCTCTAATATAGGCCCGGGCCTTTATTTCACTCAAGTGCATCGCGGTCCAGGCCTTTATTGGATAGAGGCCAGAATTAGAGACAGGCCTCTATTGCTATTTGAGCAAAACAGACTACCAGTGGAATGAATAAAAATGAGATTTTGTGTCTATTTGAACCTATAAAACACTAGGTTCATTTATTGAAAAAGTACAGTTACCATGTCTCGCTTGGTTTGAAGTAAAAAAAAAAAAAAAATCCTCCAATTCTGTTTAATTCTCCTCCTCAGTTTCCTCCTCCTCTTCATCTCTCCCTTTAATCTCCTCATCACTCGCGCTCCTCCTGTTCTGCTGCGTGTCTGTTCTCTTCCTCGCGCAGACGGGCAGCAGTCAGGGCCTGTCGTCCAGCTGCGCAGGGCTGTGGTACTTGTATGTTACTTACTACAAGTATAATGTTGAGGTATGCCCAGAAAAAAACGTTTATAGCCCCGGCCTGTATTAGAGACCGGCCATTATTTACCTCCTCTGACAGCGAGACCGGCCAATGTTAGAGTCCCGGCCGCTATTGGAATACAGGCCAATATTAGAGAATTTACGGTATTTGTTTTTAGAGTTTTTTTTATTATTTTTTTTAGTTTAATCCTGAGTGCAGTTTGTCCAAAAGTGATGGATACTACAATACTTCTCCAAACGCCAATGACAAAGCGCACATCCTGGTATGTGTGATTGATGCTACCTCAGAGCTGAGAAACGATGTCATTGAAACAATTCAGGACATCAGAGATGACGCCACAGATCTGGGTGAGACAACACACAGTTCTTTTCCTTAATGGAGGATTAGGTCTCCGCAAATGAAGCTTAAAGGGGTCATAGAACGCAAAACTGAGTTTCTATAGATGAATAACGATAGTTCAGTGGGTGAAAACGACGTACAGAGAAGCTCAAATCCCATCGACACCTCCTTTCTCTGCAAATCTCACTATTCTAAACTTCACCATAAAACGGCGAATCCAAACGAAGCCCTGAGTTGACGTAATATTGGAGATGTTGCGTTATTTGGTTCTGGCCTTTACTTTTGTCACGCCCCGATATTGACATCCAGACCAGCACACTGGTTCACTAACCTGACTCCGCCAGATGGATTTGCTCCGCATATCCATCTGGAAACCTTCCGTTGAAGTAATTTTGGGAAGGGGAGAAAATACTGGTTAGCTGATTGGCCTATGTTGGTGATAGACGGGCCAAATAAACCAATCAGATCAACGAAGCATATGACGTACTAACAGAGCGACAACGAAAACACAACCACAAGCCAGGCTGGTCTTGCCGAAACCAGTTGGGAGAAGAGCAAAAACATCTTTTCCTCTGAGAAAAGCCTCCAGAGCAGTGTTTTGTTCTTCTTTCAGTGAAGAAATACTCTGTAATTCCGATAAAACTTGCTCGATAGCCACGCTAACGCTAGTTTCATCGGCTGAAGCCGCCATGTTCTTTAGACTGAACTGTCGCGCTTCTCGTTGCGTCACACCTCAACCCGCCTCAAAGCCAACGCTGATTGGACGTTCGTTTGGTGAACGGCTCCAAATTTTCTTCAACGGAAAGTAGCCCGACTGATCTGCGAGTGAAACCTTGAAAGCTCGCGAGATCAGGATGGTCTCACGAGGCTAGGGGCCCAAGCGCCAAAGAACTTAGTTTGTTTATGTCTTTCGCTCAAACTGAGCCTGGTTCTTCTGGAGGTTTCTTCTTGTTATAAGGGAGTTTTTCCTCTCCACAGTGGCTACATGCATGCTCAGTGCAAAGGATTGCAGAGGGTCATTGTGTCCTCGCAATCAGCTTATTTTCTTTAGATAGAAACATTTTTAAGTATATAATAATCTGTATAAATAAATTGAGTAATTTTCTGATCGCAGATTGTATCTGTGTGAGTCTCTCCAGGTTTAAATTCTAGTTCTTCTAAAGGAATTGATTTTAATAAAAATTATTTCTGCAGGAATTCCTCAAGTTGCCATTTTCACCAAGATTGATGAGGCCTGTGCCAAAACAAAAAAAGAAATAAGAAATGTCTGCAGGAGCAAATTACTGCATGACAGGGTGAATATTATTATTATTTCTATTTTTTATTTGTGTTAAAATCATTATAATTCCGATTCATGGAGTCCTTTCTGAACTGCAGGTCCAGGACTTCAGTGAGAAGTCGGGGATCCCTGAGAACGATATCTTTACCATTAAGAACTACTACATGGAGAAGGACCTGGACACCAATGTGGACGTTCTGATCCTAAACGCTCTTAAACGCATCATGGAGATTGGCAATGAGTCTCAACAAAAACTGAAAAGGGCTGTTTATTTACTGTTTATTACTGTTTTCTGTGTATTAAATCAATGAGAAACTGAGAATAATCAATGTTTAATGACCATCCCAGTTTGAATTTAGTTTTCATATCCTTTGATAATCAAGCTCATATATGAATAAAAAAAAATGTTTGGATAAATTAATATTTATTTTCAAGCAGATCGAAGGAAAACCAGCTGATTTCATCGACTCATTGACTCTAAAGCAATCCTTCACACCAAGCTTGTAGCGACAGTGGAGAGGAAAAACTCCCTTTTGACAAGAAGAAACCTCCAGCAGAACCAGACTCAGTGTGAGCGGCCATCTGCTGAGGCCCACTGTAAAAGGCCCCATCCAGGAAACACACAGCCAGGCAGACGAGCTCCGAGCCAGCTCCCATGTCAGAGAATGAAGAGAGCACATCCAGTTAGTCACAGTGAGAGAAACAGGACTACACTGGAAAACAGGCCGATCTCCATCATCTATAAACAAAGGTGTTGATGGCAGCAGCACAGCTGATATTTCTCTCCAGGATGGAGTCACAGCCAAACAGGAACAGACCAGATGAAGCTACTATGAGAAAAAGCAGAGAGAGCAGAACGTTTAGAGATTGAACTAACAAAGATTTAATTAAAGATACCAATTAAGGGATAAAGGACTCTATGGCTGCTGAACTTTTACCCACTGATTGAATTCTACTGTCCAAGGGGGCGCCATGGTGTCAGTCTAGCTTCCCAGTTAAGACGGGATTGGAAGCAGATCTGTGGTGTGCTGCTGACTTAGCTGAGGGAAAGTTTAGTTCTCATATTATAAATGAAGTTCCAGCTCTCTTCTTTTCAGTACGAAAGTGTCATATTATTTTGAGATATTTGATACTTTTGCTGAAACCCTATAATATTCATCATGTGTCAAAAAGTGTGTAAAAATGTTATCTTTTTAAAGAATTACTAATATTTTGATTACATTCCCTAAAACAACTAGATTTTACCAATATTACCTATAAATAAAATCTGACTTAGAGTCTGATATCAATTATTCTCTGCCCCACATTTGGGATTTTTATCACATTCAACATAAATAAAAGTACAACAAAACATTTTTGCCAACTGATACATAAATGTTTTCTGTCTTTATAACCGTGGACAGGACAAAGCTGAGTCTGAATTAGCTGAATTGACTCCTCTGCTGTAAGGGGTCCACTTTGACCTGCTTGGATTCTGTTCTGACTCGGTTTAACTGCTCTGTCTGCAGAGTCTCAGAGCTGCTGGGTGTTAGTGGACTGACTGCAGCTCATTAGAATACATCACACTTCCTCTTTTACTGCTAATACAAGGGAAATAATAACAGGCTGGATTGCAATAAAAAGGTAATAAATCGTCTGTTTGATCTTCTTCACCAGTAGATCCTTCAGCTAAAACATGGCTCCCTTTATTTGATCTCAATTTAAGTTGAGGGTTAAAAGTAATCAAGTTTAAATGCTTATTAAATGTTTACTTCCGTGCAAATAGTTGCTTCTGTTTGAGGTTTTATGCCAGTTCCTACTGAACCCACAGAGAGAGTAGGTGGTGGGTGTTGGTCTGAAGTTCTTCTGAAGTTCCATTCAGCCACAAAGAGGAAATAAGATCATTATTTTTAAACCTGCAGCAGAGAAAAGTCTCTTATTGTTTAGCAGCTGATAGAAGGAGAGGAGATGTTGGGTCTGGAGCTGATTCTGATCGTTGTTCTTCATCTTGAAGGTAAATATCTGTTTTCTTTTAAATGAAACACTTTGGTTTACTGAGATATTTCATGGCCATATGAGAATAAACACAGCAAAAAAACTAAAAAAAACTAAAAAAAAACAGCTCCCTGGAGCTGTTTCAAAAAATTTCTGAAAATCACGTTTTTTTTTCCTTGTTTTTTTTCTTTTGCTAACAGCATTTTCCAATGCTGTTAACATTTGTATAATAAATAAATGTAAATTTGCGTCATAGCCATAGAGATCAGGTGTCATAACGTGCTGCGCGGTGCCAGGCTGCTGGAGTGTCTCGGACCATGGATTCCAAAGGGGAAAAAAGGAAGATAGCTGATGAGAAAAGAGGATTCAAAGGATGGACCAAATCATTTTCTTTCATTATCAACGATTGCATGCATTTTTGCTTGGTAATGAGGTTGGCAAAAAATAAACATTTGGAAAGCCAATTTCCAGGGAAGGCAAGCTAAATATGCAGCCAACAACCAAGCTGGGAGGGAGAGAAAAATGGTGATTGCAGAAAAATTAGAGGAGAGCAAATGTAGATTTAAGAAGCGGATTGCATCTCCATCCGCTGCTGCTGGTTTTGTTGCAAGGATGGAAAACCATCCACAGATGGGATGGGAACTTTCTTCCATTTTTTCCCCAAATCCTAAAACTATAAATCACACCAAGGAACGCTGGGATGGGGGATTTCAGGGTTGGAGAGCTGTGCTCTGATGGGTGTCAGTTCCTGCTTGGTTCCTCATGACTCAATCAACTCCTCCCAACAGAAACACGTCCATCATAGAGAGATTGCTTGATCCTGTTTCTAGAATTTCATCAATGCAACAAAGCTTAAACTGTGCAATGAAGGGTGGTTAAGCGCCGCAGTGAGAGCCTTCACTGCTCCTCCCTCACCTCATGCTGCTATGTGACATTTGCTCCAGGATAAAGATTTAATTATGAATGCTTATTATATATTTAAGCCCACATAGTCATTTTCTATAGTGGCATAAAACACTTAGAGCCCGTGTTTCCATACGAGGCATGTATAAGACTTTTACATTTTTGCAGCTCTAGACAGATTTATTTTTTGGTCCAATATGATTCTTTGAGCAGTTTGGATTGTTTGATTTTATGTTTTTTAGTCCAAAACTTCTAATTTGACACGGATTAAAACATTTATTAGTAAAAGTCTTAAATTGATTTTTTAAAGGGTTGAAGCAACAAACTATTTCAACAACAATAAATCAATCATAAAGCAAATTATATAAATGACTACACATTCCTAATTACAGCTTTATGATTGTGATTGTCAAGAACAAAGGATATAAAACCTTAAATGTGTTTTTGTCTCTGCTGCAGGCACCAGTGGAGGAGTTTATCATCTCTATTACAGATCAGGAGATGATGCCGTTCTACCTTGTAACAGTTCTTCATCGTCCTCATGCTCCGTTCATAACTGGTTATATAGCAGAGAAAGAAGCTCAGTCTCAGAGTTTGAAGATGGAAAAGTTGATCAGAGTTCACCTCGAGCTGCCAGATTAAAGGTGGACAGTAACTGCTCTCTAATCGTCAATAACATCACTGCTGAGGATGCTGGAGCGTACCGCTGTCGACTTGGTTCAGGAAACACCTTTGTTAGTTTAGTGTTTTTGAACGTTCTGACCAGTGAGTATGTAGACTTAAATGATCTGATGCTGTCAGACTCTTTTCATTTGATTAAAATAGTAAAATACTTGTGCATTGCAAAAACGGAAATCTAAATAAGTCCTTTTTGCTCAAATTAAGAGCATTTTTCTTGAATTGAGGAGGTACAGTGGGGCAAAAAAGTATTTAGTCAGCCACCAATAGTGCAAGTTCTCCCACTCAAAAAGATGAGAGAGGCCGGTATATTTCATCATAGATATACCTCAACTATGAGAGACAAAATGAGAAAAAAAAAATCCAGAAAATCACATTGTCGGATTTTTAAAGAATTTATTTGCAAAATATGGTGGAAAATAAGTATTTGGTCAGTTACAAAAGTTCATCTCAATACTTTGTTATATACCCTTTGTTGGCAATGACAGAGATCAAACGTTTTCTGTAAGTCTTCACAAGGTTTTCACACACTGTTGCTGGTATTTTGGCCCATTCCTCCATGCAGATCTCCTCTAGAGCAGTGATGTTCTGGGGCTGTCGCTGGGCAACACGTACTTTCAACTCCCTCCAAAGATTTTCTATGGGGTTGAGATCTGGAGACTGGCTAGGCCACTCCAGGACCTTGAAATGCTTCTTACGAAGCCACTCCTTCGTTACCCGGGCGGTGTGTTTGGGATCATTGTCATGCTGAAAGACCCAGCCACGTTTCATCTTCAATGCCCTTGCTGATGGAAGGAGGTTTTCACTCAAAATTTGACGATACATGGCCCCATTCATTCTTTCCTTCACACGGATCAGTCGTCCTGGTCCCTTAGCAGAAAAACTGCCCCAAAGCATGATGTTTCCACCCCCATGCTTCACTGTAGGTATGGTGTTCTTTGGATGCAACTCAGCATTCTCTCTCCTCCAAATACGACGAGTAGAGTTTTTACCAAAAAGTTCTATTTTGGTTTCATCTGACCATATGATATTCTCCCAGTCATCGTCTGGATCATCCAAATGCTCTCTAGCAAACTTGAGACGGGCCTTGACATGTACTGGCTTAAGCAGGGGGACACGTCTGGCACTGCAGGATTTGAGTCCCTGGCGGCGTAGTGTGTTACTGATGGTAGCCTTTGTTACTTTGGTCCCAGCTCTCTGCAGGTCATTCACTAGGTCCCCCCGTGTGGTTCTGGGATTTTTACTCACCGTTCTTGTGATCATTTTGACCCCACGGGGTGAGATCTTGCGTGGAGCCCCAGATCGAGGAAGATTATCAGTGGTCTTGTATGTTTTCCATTTTCTAAAAATTGATCCCACAGTTGATTTCTTTACACCAAGCTGTTTACTTATTGCAGATTCAGACTTCCCAGCCTGGTGCAGGTCTATAATTTTGTTTCGGGTGTCCTTTGACAGCTCTCTAGTTTTGGCCATGGTGGAGTTTAGAGTGTGACTGTTTGAGGTTGTGGACAGGTGTCTTTTATACTGATAACGGGTTCAAACAGGTGCCATTAATGAAGGTAACGAGTGGAGGACAGAGGAGCCTCTTACAGAAGAAGTTACAGGTCTGTGAGAGCCAGAAATCTTGCTTGTTTGTAACTGACCAAATACTTATTTTCCACCATATTTTGCAAATAAATTCTTTAAAAATCAGACAATGTGATTTTCTGGATTTTTTTTTCTCATTTTGTCTCTCATAGTTGAGGTATATCTATGATGAAAATGACCGGCCTCGCTCATCTTTTTAAGTGGGAGAACTTGTACTATTGGTGGCTGACTAAATACTTTTTTGCCCCACTGTAAGTGAGACACTTTGCCAATGCAACAACACAATTTACATTTAAAATAAGAAAATAATTGCTTTGTCTTATTTCAAGTGTTTATTATCTAATTATTTTATTTTAGGAGTAATATTACTAATTCCATTGGCAGATTATCTTATTTACCTGCACACATTAAGGGTAAATACACTTAATTTAAGACATTTTTTTTACTTATTTCTAGATATTTTTTTTGTACTGTGTTGGACAGATGTTTCTGATATCAAAAGCTCAATCTGCACTGCAAAAACCATCTACAAATAAGTCAACATTTCTTAAATTAATTGTATTTTCATTTATTTTGAGCAGGTAAATAACAGGATCTGCCAATGGGATGAGTATTTAAACCCTAAAATAAGATAATTATATAAAATGCACCTAAAATAAGACAATGCATATATTTTTTTTCCTATTTTAAATGTAAATTGTCTTGTTCCATTGGAAAGGTGTCTCAATTTCTTCCTAAATTCAAGACGAAAATCACTTATTTTAAGAGAAAAATTACTTACCTAGATTTAGACTTTTTCCAGTGTGTGTGATGCTTCAACCACATATCGATCCACACTTAGCTTTACTTACTGTATTGGATGTTGTGTTCCAACTATACGCTGATACAGCCTCCCTGGGAGACCTTTAATAGGAGAAGAGGGGCTGATTTTAAACCTCGGCTTTAGAAGGAGCAGTGTGGGTTAGTTTAGGCTGTAGAGCAGCTTTACTCTCTCTGCAGGGTTTGTGGGAGTTTGTCCAACCCGTCTACATGTGCTTTGTGGCCCTGGAGAAGGTTCTCTTCTGCGTCCCTCATGCTGCCCTTTAGGAGGCCCTTCAGGAGTATGAGTCATGAACCAGGGACAGAAGGACCAAGTATTAAAGGAGAGACAGTCAGTAGGAAAGTTCAAAACGTTTATTAATTAAGTCCAGACCATGAATGTCCCCAGTGCTGCAGTCCAAGGGGTGATGCTGGAAGCCGATCCTGGTCAGGGATCCAGAACAGACGGGAACAGACAGAACAGGCAGAATCCAGATCAGGTAGGAACAAAAACAGGTGGCAGGATCCAGACTTCCAGGCATCCACAGGCTCCCAGGAGGGTTCAGAGTCTGACTGGGACCAGAAGCATGACCAGGTGGTCACGCACAGGAGCAGACAGGATCAGGTGCAGACAGGCAGGCTCAGTGGAAGAGGGTAGCCGAGACAGGACGTGGAACCGGAACTTGAAGCAGGACTTTAAACTGGTCTCCTCCCTGGAGCCAGGCTTATTGGATAAAAACGGAACCTCCCCACATATTGAGCCAAAACCCAGAGGACTCCGGGGGAGGAACAGTGGACGATCAGGAGACGAGAAAAACACAAAAACCCTCTTTCCACTGGCTGCTAGGATCCAGGACATGAACCAAGGAACAAAACTAACAGACAGGCTAACAGAAAGACAAGCAATGATCTGGCACTGAATGCTCAGGCTGAACTGAATATAACCAAGAGGAAACAGGTGAAAGGAATAAATAAGAATTGAGGCAGGGAGAGAAAACAGACAGGTGAAAGGAATGACTAATTAAGGGAGAGCAAACAGGCCAGATTATGACAGTATGGAGTCAGCTGTCCTCTAATAGGGGCCGTCTGGTCTCTGTACAAAAACAGCAGGAGTTTGGTCTGCATTGCTGGCGTTAAAGGTATAGTGGAGGATTTTCTTTTTACGGGTGGATCATCAAAATTAGAGGTACTCCTAATTGTCAATCACTCTGGTGATGTTTACATAAGGCCATCCTACATGCTTGTTCCCATTTTCACCCACCGCCGGTGAAACTGACATAATGGAAAAATTGCAAATCTTCTCTTGTAAGCTTGAATGAGTGATGCTAACAGCAACTTTTAAACTGGCCGTGCACAAGCCCATTTCTCCTCATGCACGCCCTCCACGCGTTTAATAAGGTGTCCTCTCAGGAGCAGGCACAGGGTGGTGCATGTGCATTTTTTTTTTTTAAGTGGAGAGGGTGGGTCTTTTAAAAAAATCGCAAAAATCCTCTAATTTACCTTTAGGTCTGACCTGTTTCTGGTGCATGTTGGACTCTGGCAGTGCTGCCCTCTGTATCCGTTCCTGTTTGTAACTTTAAGGATCTCTAGGTGCAGCCAAGGGCCAGCAGGGGTTTGGTTTGGGGACCAGCAGATTTCTTTTCTTCTTTTTGCAAATGAAATGGCTCCGCTAGCGCCCTCCTGCCAAGAACTAAAGCATTTGTTGGGGTGATTTGCAGCTAAAAGGAAGCAGCTCATTCAGGTCTGAGCCCATGGTTATTGTGCTGTAAAATGATCTTGCCCCCTTCAGGTTGGATGAGAGTTCCTGCCTTATGTTTGGAGGTTCAAGTATTTTGGGATCCTGTTCAAGAGTGAGGCTAGAATGGAGCAGGAGATTGAAGGACGAATCAGTGTGGCTGCCGCCATAATGTGGACACTGTGCCGGTCTTTTATGGTGGAGGGAGCAGAGTCAAAATTCCAGTTGTTCTACATTCTTACCCCCATCTATGGTCCTGAAATCTGTTTCAGGAATGTCAAAGAATGTGACACCTTGATACAAGCAACCGGAATTGGCTAACACTCCCTTAGAGATAGGAAGGGCTTGTGAGAAGTAAGCTGTAATACACAGACATCTGTTTCCAATGCCCCATTGACCCCGCCTTGTGAAGTGTGTTCCAGGCCCGTCCAACTGGGAGGAGGCCCAGGGGATGGTCCAGGATACCCTGGAGGGGCCTTAGAGTGCACCAGGCTTCCCCCAGAGGAGGTGTCAGGAGAAACAGAGCCCTCTAGTCTCAGCTGAGACTACTTCCCCCCGCGGCCCGGATAAAGCGAAGATTGGGATTCTCTGATGTATTGTGTGGTTAAATAGTTTTTTCATACCAACGCATCATTTACTTTCATTTGTAAAGATTTTCTGCTCTGTTCCATAGTGCTGATGGAAACCTACTCAGATCTGCATCATGAGCAAAATTCAATCACCAAGTAACATGGAGGCAATTTTTTTTCTCAGAATGAAATCTTTTCATCACAGAGGAAAAGATTTCTCCTTTAAGTTCCTTGTTTTGGAAAAACTTACTTCTACATTTTTCAGACTCAGACGGCGGTTTTCTTTTTTCTTTCAGTCTCTCCCTCTTCACCAGCCGCTGATCCAACAAAGGATGGAAATGTGACATTACGATGTTCTCTGGAAAGAATCAGTTGGTTTGGATCTTGTCAACATCAAAGCTTCCGCTGGTTGGATGAGACAGGAAAGAGGCTGACTGGTGAAGATGTTCGCTATGGGATTAGGAGACCGTGGAGCTGTGTTTCCTCTTTAACTGTGCACCATCAGAGCTTCATCAATACAAAATACACCTGTCAGTTTGTCACAGAAAACAGCGTAAAGGTAGAAGCTCACTACTCAGCTGGGTTTAAAGGTGAGATGCTTGAATTTACTGGGTAATAAGCAGGAATTACCAGAATATTATGCATATGAGTAATTAGATTGGTTATTAATTGGAATATTATTATATTCAGCATTTTTTTCTTCTTGTTTTAGAGATTGTTTTGATTTTCAAACTAGTTTAAAAATCTGCAAGAAAAAAAGCATCATATTTCTTGTTTTATGCTTAACAAAAAAGGTCCTTTTTTTTTAAAATTTGCTGTAGAAACACTGAAAAAAAAAAAACATATTTAAAGCTTTTAGGACAAAGTTTGGTTCTCCAAAAATTAAAGCCAGTCTTTTCCTTCAGTGGTAATAAGTGGGATTTATGTCAGTAATGACAGCAATGTGTGTAATGTAGCCGAGTGTGATAACTGACAATAATCCAGCTTTGTGGGTTTTCCTTTACTTACTTTTTAATTATCAAGCTTAAATATGATTGATATGGACCGCTCTGCCCCTTTTAATGAGCTTTAATGACTCTGTGCAGATCCACTGCTTAGAGTCAAAGGCAAAGAAGGAAGTCAAACCTAACAGGGACAAAAAAGAAAATGTGTGTGAAACTGAGAAATGTTCACATGACCAACAGACGTCAGACTTCTCTCTTCCACGTGTGTTTCTAATGAATGCAGCACATAAAGGCGGGTGGTGTGTGGGCGTGTTGAACTGTCTCTGAATCGTCTCTACTGTTTGCTGACCAGAAATATTAAAAGACATAGAATTAGCTCTCATTAAAATACTGAATTTGTCTTTTTCTGCAGGTATCAGAGTCCATATCTATCACAGAGCTGGAGATGATGCTGTTTTACCCTGTAACAGACCTTCATCATCCTCTTCCTCATGCTCCACTGTTAACTGGCTTTATAGGATAGCTGAAGGCTTGAATCCTCAGCAGGAAGTTCAGAGAGGAAACGTTGTTCAGAGTTCATCTAAAGCTGCCAGGCTGAGTGTGGACAATGACTGCTCTCTGATCATCAACAACATCACTGCTGAGGATGCTGGAGGTTACAGATGTCAGATTGAGGATGGAGGCAGCTCTGATCCAGATGTGTATCTAAATCTGCTTAGCAGTGAGTGATCTGAACTTACTCTGCGTTCCTGCTGATATCAGTCCTTCCTAACCCTGAAACCCCTATATACACTGCAAAAAATCTAAATCTAGATAAGTGGTTTTTTCTTAAAATAAGTGCATTTGTTCTTGAATTGAGGAGGTAAAAGAGACATTTTGCCAATGGAACAAGACAATTTACGCTTTAAATAAGAAAACACAATTATATTGTCTTATTTCAAGTGCATTTTATCTAATTATCTTATTTTAAGAGTAGAATTACTCATTCCATTGGCAAACTATCTCATTTACCTACTCAAATTAAAGGTGAATACACTTAATTTAAGACATTTTTACTTATTTCTAGGTCGTTTTTGCAAAAGGGGGATGGTTAGATCATGATGTATTTATCTTCTGAGATTAACTGAAACTGGGTCTGTTTATTTCTTAGAGATGTAAAAAATACCAGAATTTCTAATTTTCAGGCAACTTATTGTCTGGTAATGTGGTTAGGCACATCAGTGGTTTGGATATGTTGATTATATTTGCAGAGGTCCATCTTTTTAATTACTGCCAACTGTTAGTCTGTAATGTTAAGAAATCAGCTTCTATTCATAACTTTAAAAAGTTGATTTTATTAGTTTTTCCCTATTTTTTTCATACTGATTGTTTTATTTCCTTCCAGTCTCTGCATTTTCATCAGACGCTGATCAAACAGAGAATAATATCACATTACTCTGTTCTCTGCTGAGATTCAGATCATTGCACTGCAGAAAATGGAGATCTAAATGAGTCATTTTTGCTTAAATTAAGTGCATTTTTTTCTTGAATTGAGGAGGTAATTGAGATAATTTGCCAATGGAACAAGACAATTTACATTTAAAATAAGAAAAAACAATTGCTTTGTCTTATTTCGAGTGCATATTATCTAATTATCTTGTTTTAGAAGTAAAAATACTAGTTCCATTGACAAATCATCTTATTTATCTGCTAAAATTAAGGGTAAATACACTCAATTTAAGAATTTTTTAACTTAATTCTAGATGGTTTTTGCAGTGTGGGTTCTTGCCCAGAGAACAGCCTCCTCTGGTTGGATGAGACAGGAACTGGTCTGACTGGTGAAGTTGTTGGGTACCAGTTTAGACAGACTGGCTGTTGTTCTAATCTCACTGTGAACCTTCAGAGCAGCAGCAGGAGAAGATACACCTGCCAGTTTGTTGATGGAAACACAGTGAAGATAGAAGCTCACTACCAGCTGGAAGGTATGATGTCATTACACATCTGTCGCTACAGATACATTCTAATAAAGTGAAAATCTCAGACATTTTAGCATCTATTATCAAAGCAGTGAATGTCTGATATTAGATTTGAATCTTCATATTGGTGCAATGTTCTGTGATAAGGCTGCAGAAGTCAATATTATTATTACAGTCTTTATCTTTAGCAACATATATTTTGCTCCACTTTATTTTTTAAAATTAATTCTGGTTCTCTCCTTGGGTTTAAACATTTATTGCTTATCCATGGCATATAGTCTACTTCAGAGATGGGAAGTAACGAAGTACAAATACTTTGTTACTGTACTCAAGTAGATTTTTCTGATATTTTTACTTTACTTTACTACTTATTTTTATGGCGACTTTTTACTTCTACTCCTTACATTTTTACACAAATATCTGTACTTTCTACTCGTTACATTTTAAAAAATTGGCTCGTTACTTTAGTTTTGAATCAGTTCAATGGAGTTACCGTTATTATTTTTCACGACATCAATACCAAATTCAATCTAATTGGATGGGAATCTACGTTGCATTTGACGCACCACTACAAGATGAATCGACAGATTCGGCGGTATTCATTGGCGGCAAATCATTGCAGCTTGGTGGCGGGTGGCGTTAGCATAGTAGCATGGACGACGAGATGATTGAAAATGAACACAACGGAGATCTAGTCCTATTGGCAGACATCCATTTAAAATGTAGGCAACGGCATGAAAAAAGTGGTTTCTACTTTTACTTTTATACTTTAAGTAAATTTACAAGCCTGTACTTTGTTAATTTTACTTGAGTAAAGAAGTTTAATCAGTACTTCCACTTTTACCAGAGTATTTTTTAACGCAAGTATCTCTACTTTTACTTAAGTACAGAAAGTAAGTACTTTTGCCATCTCTGGTCATCTTAAAGATCACGAAGGGACAAAGCACATTACATGGAATGCATATGATGAACAACTGTAAGATATTCATAACCCAACCCAGGAGATGTGGTAAATGTTTTATTTGATAAGATATTATTCAGGCTATCATATATTGTGTATGAACACACGCCCTACTGGCTGTGAAAGAGTGAATTTTCTAATATCTTGGTTAAACTGAAAATTCTGCACATATATGGAATAAATTCACCACAGCCTCCTTTCAAAATACGAGGTTTTTTTTTTTTACAATGATTCAGCGCCAACTCACACGGAAAGAAATTAAAATCTAGATCAGTCATTTTTTCTTAAAATAAGTGCATTTGTTCTTAGATTGAGGAGGTAAAAGAGACATTTTGCCAATGGAACAAGACAATTTACACTTAGAATAAGAAAACACAATTGCATTGTCTTATTTCAACTACATATTATCCAATTACCTTATTCTAAGAGTAAAAATACTCATTCCATTGGCAAACTATCTCATTTATCTACTCAGATTAAGGATAAATACACTTCATTTAAGACATTTTTACTTATTTATAGATCATTTTTCCAGTGCAAACATATTTCACTAAAAGAGAGACGATGAAATTATATCACCATCTAGAATGGATTTGGTCTTAAAGTTTACCTTGAAGAATTTGGGATGGAATCATATTAGTTTTTAACCAATTTAGAGTGACTGATTTCAATTCAATTCAAAATGCAAATCCATAAGGTGAATAAAAGATTATTGGGCAAATAATGTTTTATTCATCAAAAGACTTTATGCTACCACGTACTTAAATCGTCAAAGTTCACGCTAGTTAAATGTCACATTCAAATAATAAAATAATGTCTATGATGAATAAGGTGACAATTTATGCATTTAATCTTTCAGCAATGGTCTATCATTCTCCTTTCAGGCTTCTATTGATTGGGAACAGTATTTCCCTTTTATTTTCAAAATAAAATTTCTCAATCTGCTTTCTACCAATGTCTACCAGAGTTCATGTTTCACCAGGATTTCTAAATGCACTCCGCGATCAAATGTTCGTTTTGCTTAATCTTTAATTTTAACCTGTCTTACATTAGCAGCTTTAAGCAAGTAAGGCATCCTTGTTGGTGAAACCCAGTAATCGTCACTTGTCAGCTGAGTCAAAATTGGGAATCACTCTGGATGTATACAATCATGGATACCACCAAACTGCAGCCCTGCAACTTCTTGTAATAGCTAGTTTACCTATGATTAACAAAAAAAAACATCTTAAACTACTAGTTTATGTTACACTTGTTGATACTATTAATGAAATCATTGTGCATACCTTTGCTTGAGCAAAGCCACCTGGTTCTTCTCCTTAACTGTTGTTTTGTTGATGCAATCTGCAAGCTGCAATATCGCACCCAAAGGTACATGTGAACAAGCTCTGTCATCGTGCAACTTTGCCCTTACTCTGTGTTGTGTAACCCCCACTGTTAATGACAAAGGTTGAGTAAATGGGTTTTAACATGTAATAAAACACTATAGTTCCATGACATCCAGAGAGCACCAGTTCAAAAACACGAGGTCCTACGGAGAAACGATGCTGGGTAAAATGTTGACTGAACTGATCGTCTGTCTGTATGGAAGTTTGTTGGCAAAATCACTGATATGTCCCATAAACGAATGACTAATTTGATGGGATTAAAGCTGCTGAACTTGCAGCTAATCGCTTTGGCTAGGGGTCAACAAAAGGTCAACTCAATTTTACAAGCTAATTTTTGCTTGTTAAAGCTACAGTGTGTAATAATTACAGGGATATACAGTCAGAAATGCAATATATTATACATAACTATGTTATTTATCATCATCTACGAGCTCAGCCTCCTAACCTTAATATTTGCGATGCCTTAGAATTCGTTATTTATAATTACATAGGAGCGGGTCTCACAGCCATGGAGGCAGACATCTTTGCGCTACGGCAGCGCAGAGCCAACAAACTAGCGATTGCTAGATCGCCCATTACGCTCGAAAGTAACTACGGCAAGTTGAGAGAGATGAACTGAGACGGTACTGAACAATAGATGGCAGTATTAGAATTATCTATGTAAACAAACCTCATCACTTGAGAAGGTAGGTGATGCGGATGTCGTGGAAGACATTTTGTCCCGTAATGTCGCCGTACTGTTGGGGGGAGAAGCGGTGTGGGGGAGATGTTCATGTTGCTGCGGTCTGCAGTCTGGACACTAGATGTCGCTGAAAATTACACACTGTAGCTTTAAGTTGTGCTACTGAATTTCTTTACATGCAAAACTTGTTTTGCAGCAAAAGAGCCAGAGCCTAGGTAATGTGTGGAGGGGAGCCCGAGTATCTCTCCACCTCCTGCACAAGCTTAGGCTTAGAGTAAAAAAAAAGTCAATAAAATCATTGCACAAGATTATGAATTAAATCTCTAAAAAAAAAAACATGAGACATACTTCCTCCATAGAGAAACATGACCTGTGAAAAAGCTTACTGTGTGTGAACATCTGTCTGAATGCGTTGGAGAGAAGATGCTTTTAATTCTGATGAACAAACCACCATCATGTTAAAAAGAATCCAAACACAGCAGCTTCTCTGCTTCATCTCATCCACAGGTTCCACAGACTGGTCTCCTCTGAGCTTCATCATGTTGACTCTGAGGATCACAGCACTGATCCTGATGGTTGGAATCACTGCTGATATCATCAGAACCAGAGGTGAGCAAACTGGACCAGAATGGAGCAAAGCTACAGATTTGTGGTTGTAATTATAATTTTTCTCTCATGGTTTTATTTAATCTCCTGATGCACACACAGGAAGTTTTTTTTACGAGAGGTGAATCACTATAATAAAGTCTATTGTATAGAGACGGAATGTGAAGACTGAGCTATGGTAAGAGTAACCTGACTCCGCTAGATGGATTTGCTCCGCATATCCATCTGGAAACCTTTCGTTGAAGTAATTTTGGGAAGGGGAGAAAATACTGGTTAGCTGATTGGCCTATGTTGGTGATAGACGGGCCAAATAAACCAATCAGATCAACGAAGCATATGACGTACTAACAGAGCAACGACGAAGAGGAGCCAATTGATAGATCAAACTCTTGCCGAAACCAGTCGGGAGAAGAGCAAAAACATCTTTTCCTCTGAGAAAAGCCTCCAGAGCAGTGTTTTGCTCTTCTTTCAGTGAAGAAATACTCTGTAATTCCGATAAAACTTGCTCGATAGCCACGCTAACGCTAGTTTCATTGGCTGAAGCCACCATGTTCTTTAGACCGAACTGTCGCGCTTCTTGTTGCGTCACACCTCAACCCGCCTCAAAGCCAACGCTGATTGGACGTTCGTTTGATGAACTGCTCCAAATTTTCTTTAACGGAGAGTCTCCAGACTAATCTGTGAGTGAAACCTTGAAAGCTCGCGAGATCAGGATGGTCTCACGAGGCTATGGTAAGAGAGGGACAATGAGGAACTCCTGCTGTACTTGAACGGGTCGTAGTGAAGATGATTCCCTTGCTCAGAGATTTCAACGTCCTCTAAGGAGACTGGATCCAAACCTCCCGTTTGAATCCCCGACTCAGTTAAAGGCTCAGTTGATCCCTCCAGGGAGAGAAGGTCCGAAAAGGTCCAGTTTGCAGGATGACTTCCTGCTGAGAGGCAAAGACAAAAACAAAGTTAAAACTCAGGTTGACAAGAACTCAGTCTTACTCAGAGAAAACTCAGCTTGGCTAGAGTATCAAAAACTGGCAAACACTCGGGTAGTGGCAATCAGCAGCTTAAGAGCACTCCGTTAACGAGGTAACCATCATCAGGTGTGTGAGGAGGCGGACCGGAACCAGGCGCCTCCTGTCGGTGGAAGGGAGACAAACACAAAAACAAACACACAGACAGGAGCCCTGACACAACGCTTACTTCATGTAGGGGAGGAGCTAAAATCTATGACGTCAGAAGCCTCGCTACTGCCATACCACGTGACCGCTTCAGGAAGTGGTTCAGATCGCCCGCAACCTGACAGGCTTTTAAACAGACTCAGTATTCAGCCAAGATGTTGGAGTTTGGATAGAGTTTGAAAGTATTCTGAAAATAGATTGGTTGAAAAAACAACAGAGCTCGTTAATTAAAATAATTATGGTTAGAATAAACAATATAATGGTCAGAGTCTGAATAAGCCACTGGTTTTGGTTATTGCATTATTCAATGGTATTACTTTCTGAGAAATCAAATGTTGGTGACAGCTGTGCTGGGTGTAGGAGTTTGTCTCTCAAACAAAAGGTTATTGATTTGAGACCCACCCTTAGTTTTTTTTCTTTTTTATTTATCTATTTTTTGTTATACTACTTAACCAGTGTGTTGGTCAATGGGACCAATTTGTATTGTATAGTTTGGGAAAAAAACACTACCGAATTAGATAGGTTGTTTTAACCAAAATATTGGTTGGATACATAAAGTCAAACCAAATTAAAACCAAAAACAATGAAAAAACTTTTAGTGTACTCAGTGTATCTTTAAGGATTGTTTTTTTTCAAAGACAATTTACACACAAAGACCTTAGAGAATATTTTATTATACACATCAATCATGAACAATTTCAATTGCAAACTTCAAATATTATATTGCTACATATATCTATGCACTGTGCCAGTAGGTGGTGTCATGTTCACATGAAGCTCAAAGAAATTAGTGATTTGTCGTAACAGACTGGCTGCAGGGTTGAATCACCAACACTAATAATTGATCTGCATAGTTGATTGGATGTTTGTTTGTCATGAAAATCAGCAGAGAACACCAGTCATTGGTGAGAACTATAGATACGTCCGAAGGAAACCAAGATCAGTCGCATTAGAAGAATAACACTCTGACACTGAGTGAAGGGTGAACCCCTCCTCTTATGCAGCCCTGGTGATGAGCTGATGTGTTGCACCTGTGTAAGACATGCAGGAGAAGCTGTCAGCTCAGTAGCAGCCTTATGGTGCCCTCTGGTGGAAAACCAGAAGAATAGCAGAACAAATCCCGCCCAAAAAAAACCCAATTTCCTGACATTTTTGTCCATCACAGAAAGCAAAAAGGCACAAAGAGACAAATAATACCTTCATAGATCTTTTAAATATATAGGGGTTGGACAATGAAACTGAAACACCTGGTTTTACACCCCAATAATTTATTAGTGTGGTGTAGGGCCTCCTTTTGCGGCCAATACAGCATCAGTTCGTCTTGGGAATGACATATAGAAGTCCTGCACAGTGGTCAGAGGGATTTTAAGCTGTTCTTCTTGCAGGATAGTGACCAGGTCACGACGTGATGCTGGTGGAGGAAAATGTTTCCTGACTCGCTCCTCCAAAACACCCCAAAATGGCTCAATAATATTTAGATCTGGTGACTGTGCATCAAACCAATCTTTCACCAGTCTTGCTGTGTGTATTGGTGCATTGTCATCCTGATACACGGCACCTCCTTCAGGATACAATGTTTGAACCATTGGATGCACATGGTCCTCCAGAATGGTTCGGTAGTCCTTGGCAGTGCCCATCTAGCACAAGTATGGGGCCAAGGGAATGCCATGATATTGCAGCCCAAACCATCACTGATCCACCCCCATGCTTCACTCTGGGCATGCAACAGTCTGGGTGGTACGCTTCTTTGGGGCTTCTCCACAACGTAATTCTCCCGGAAGTGAGGAAAACAGTAAAGCTGGACTCACATTATCCACAGCCCATGATTTGCGCTCCTTGCACCTTTGAAACCGACATTTGGCATTGGCACGAGTGACCAAAGGTTTGGCTATAGCAGCCCGGCCATGTATATTGACCCTGTGGAGCTCCCGACGGACAGTTTTGGTGGAAACAGGAGAGTTGAGGTGCACATTTAATTCTGCCATGATTTGAGCAGCCGTGGTTTTATGTTTTTTGGATACAATCCGGGTTAGCACCCGAATATCCCTTTTAGACAGCATCCTCTTGCATCCACAGTTAATCCTGATGGATGTGGTTCGTCCTTCTTGGTGGTATGCTGACATTACCCTGGATACTGTGGCTCTTGATACATCACAAAGACTTGCTGTCTTGGTCACAGATGCACCAGCAAGACGTGCACCAACAATTTGTCCTCTTTTGAACTCTGGTATGTCACCCATAATGTTGTGTGCCTTGCAATATTTACCCTGTTAATTGGACATTCACAATCTGCTCTTACTGGTTCAATGTGCAATTGATGAAGATTGGCCACCAGGCTGGTGGTTTAGCCAATTTAGCCATGAAACCTCCCATACTAAAACGAGAGGTGTTTCAGTTTCATTGTCCAACCCCTGTAGATTATAATGACAAACCTGTTCCCTCTAAGCTAAGCTTCCAGTTTTCAAGACATTAAACATTTTCAACTTATTCTCTCTGGTGAGATTCTGTTTGAACACAATCGATTTACAAGCTGCTGAAACAAGAAGGTTTGGGTAACAAAAAAAATCCAGTTTTGTCCTTTTTCTAAAGAGAAAGGACAAACTAGGCTTTTAAATAATAAAAAGGAAAGTTTGGTCCTATCTAGTAAAAAATCACGCAACGAGAATATTTTTAAAAGATAAACAACATGTTTTGACCTTAAACAGTGTAAAACTGTTATTTTATCAGAATTGAGAAAGCTTCCTGGAGAGGTGGCGAAACGTCTTCAAATCTTGGAAACCAAGTCCAGTGGATATTTTTTGAATTTTTACGGAATGACTATGACCTGGATGACTGAGAACCTTCATCAGCATATCAGAATAATAAATACATCAGCTGTTACAAAGGATTTTCTCATTTATAATGTTTTAAAATGTCTCTTTAAATGTTTTTTTTTTTCTATAACTGTATTATAAGGTTAATGTTTGGTTTTATCTTACAGGTTCTTGATGCTGGAGACGATGGAGAACGTTCTGCTGCTGCCACAATCAGTTGACCTTCAACACATCAATACAGTTTATACTAAAGACTTTATTATATTTTGTACACTATCTTATTGTATTTCCTGATAAATTACCCATTTTTGTCCCTGGTTCTTCTTATTATTCATGAAGAAAAAAAAAACAAAATCTCTGGATTTGTTCTCAGACTAAAACCTGGAGGCAGACAGACAGACGGAGTCACATCAACGATCAAATTTTTGCTTAAAACTCTCTATGATTTTGTTTCGAAAACAACAAATCCTTTTGTCACTAATAAACAGAGATGGCAAAAGTACTCACTTTCCGTACTTGAGTAAAAGTACAGATACTTGTGTTAAAAATACTCTGGTAAAAGTGCAAGTACTGATTAAACTTCTTTACTCAAGTAAACGTAACAAAGTACAGGCTTGTAAATGTCCTTAAAGTATAAAAGTAAAAGTAGAAACCACTTTTTTCATGCCGTTGCCTACATTTTAAATGGATGTCTGCCAATAGGACTAGATCTCCGTTGTGTTCATTTTCAATCATCTCGTCGTCCATGCTACTATGCTAACGCCACCGCCACCAAGCTGCAATGATTTGCCGCCAATGAATACCGCCGAATCTGTCGATTCGTCTTGTAGTGGTGCGTCAAATGCAATGTAGATTCCCATCCAATTAGATGAATTTGGTATTGATGATGTGAAAAAAAATAACGGTAACTCCATTGAAATGATTCAAAACTAAAGTAACAAGACAATTGTTTAAAAATATAAGGAGTAGAAAGTACAGATATTTGTGTAAAAATGTAAGGAGTAGAAGTAAAAAGTCGCCATAAAAATAAGTAGTAAAGTAAAGTAAAAATATCAGAAAAATCTACTTGAGTTCAGTAACAAAGTATTTGTACTTCGTTACTTCCCATCTCTGCTAATAAACATAAATAAATAACTTCCTCCTATAAAATCCAACCAATCAGTTTCTTCCTTTGATCAGGAAGAACAGAGCATAAAGAAAACAATCATTAAAGCTCAGTTTGCTGCTCTCTCATCTACACTGATGCTCTCTGGTCCAACCCAGATAGCTGGCATCTCTTCTTCTACTGATGTGATTGGTTGTAGCATCAGCTCAACCCACCAGCAGTGCATTCTGGGGGTTGTAGTATAAGCAGTGAATGGTCTGTCTACCAGTGGGTCAGCTCTAGTAGACATTTGGATTGATCTCATTGATCACATTTGGTCTGTGGGTCTGAGTCTGACTCCTCTGCTGTAAGGGGTCCACTTTGACCTGCTGGGATTCTGTTCTGACTCGGTTTAACTGCTCTGTCTGCAGAGTCTCAGAGCTGCTGGGTGTTAGTGGACTGACTGCAGCTCATTAGAATACATCACACTTCCTCTTTGCTCAGGCAGAGGAAATGACAAGCTGGATTAAAATTAATCGTCTGTTTAATGTTCTTCAACAGCAGACCCTTTGGCTTAAAAATTTATCATTTTAGTTGATCTGACTCTTAGAAATTTAATTAATTAAATGTAGTTTTAACGTTTGTTTCAAACCAACATTTGTGCAACTAGGTCCTTCTATTTGTGATTTTCTTTCAGTTTCTAAAAACAGTCAAGTGCTGTGAAACGTGAAAAGAAGCTGTGCGAGGAGTTAGTGCAAAGTTGTTTTCCATTCATTAATTCAGCGTCAAAGAGGAAATAACATCAGTACTTTTAGATCTGCAGCAGAGAAAAGTCTATCAGATTCTGATCGTTATCAAGACTTTTTTTCCCCTTTCAAATAAAGCCAAGAAATTTTAAAGGCTTTATTGAGATATCAAGAAATAACTACCAGTATTTGCAAGATTTAATCTGTGCAGCATGTATTAGTTGATCATGTTTTGACCAAAAAACGTGGATAATATATATAATCCCCCACCCTTCCTTCATTGGCTGCTCAGTGGAACAGTGGGCAGCACTGCAGAAGGAAGGTTCCGGGTTCAAATCCCAGCCCGGGGTCCTTCTTCATGGAGTTTGCATGTTCTCCCTGAGCATGCGCGGGTTCTCTCTGGGTACTCCGGCTTCCTCCCACAGTCCAAAAACATGACTGTTAGGTTAATTGGCTTCTCTAAATTCTCCTTATGTGTGAATGGTTGTTTATTCTATTTGTCTCTGTGTTGCCCTGAGATGGACTGGCGATTTGTCCAGGCTGCACCCTGCCTCTCGCCCAGAGACAGCTGGAGATAAGCGTGATGGAAGTTGGATTGATATCGATTTTTTGTGTCAAAATTTGATGAACTGTTGATACAAAAATGTCTTAAACAGACTTTAATAAATGCATTAAACTGGAAATAAAATCTTCTGGAACTCATCCAAACATGATGTTATATACAGGTGCTGGTCATAAAATTAGAATATCATGAAAAAGTAGATTGATTTCAGTAATTCCATTTAAAAAGTGAAACTTGTATATTATATTCATACATTACATACAAACTCATATATTTCAGATGTTTATTTTGTTTAATTTTGATGATTACAAATGACAACAAATGAAAATCTCAAATTCATCATATCAGAAAATTAGAATATTACTGAAGACCAATAAAAACAAAGGATTTATAGAAATGTTGGCCAACTGAAAAGTATGAACATGAAAAGTATGAGCATGTACAGCACTCAGTATTTAGTTGGGCCTCCTTTGGCCTGTATTACTGCAGCAATGCGGCGTGGCATGGAGTCGATCAGTCTGTGGCACTGCTCAGGTGTTATGATAGCCCAGGTTGCTCTAATAGTGGCTTTTAGCTCTTCTGAATTGTTGGGTCTGGTGTATTGCATCTTCTTCTTCACAATACCCCATAGATTTTCTATGGGGTTAAGGTCAGGAGAGTTTGCTGGCCAATTAAGAACAGGGATACCATGGTCCTTCAACCAGGTACTGGTAGCTTTGGCACTGTGTGCAGGTGCCAAGTCCTGTTGGAAAATGAAATCTGCATCTCCAAAAAGTTGGTCAGCTGCAGGAAGCATGAAGTGCTCTAAAACTTCCTGGTATGTGGCTGCGTTGACCCTGGACCTCAGAAAACACAATGGACCAACACCAGCAGATGACATGGCACCCCAAACCATCACTGACTGTGGAAACTTTACACTGGACTTCAAGCAACGTGGATGAAGTGCCTCTCTTCTTTTCCTCCAGACTCTGGGACCTTGATTTCCAAAGGAAATGCAAAATTTACTTTCATCAGAGAACATGACTTTGGACCACTCACCAGCAGTCCAGTCCTGTTTCTCTTTAGCCCAGGCAAGACGCTTCTGACGCTGTCTGTGGTTCAAGAGTGGCTTGACACAAGGAATGCGACAGCAGAAACCCATGTCTTTCATACGTCTGTGTGTGGTGGTTCTTGAAGCACTCACTCCAGCTGCAGTCCACTCTTTGTGAATCTCCCCCACATTTTTGAATGGGTTTTGTTTCACAATCCTCTCCAGGGTGCGGTTATCTCTCTTGCTTGTACACTTTTTTCGACCACATCTTTTCCTTCCCTTCGCCTCTCTATTAATGTGCTTGGACACTGAGCTCTGTGAACCGCCAGCCTCTTTAGCGATGACCTTTTGTGTCTTGCCCTCCTTGTGCAAGGTGTCGATGGTCGTCTTTTGGACAACTGTCAAGTCAGCAGTCTTCCCCATGATTGTGTAGCCTATAGAACTAGACTGAAAGACCATTTAAAGGCTTTTGCAGGTGGTTTGAGTTAATTAGCTGATTAGAGTGTGGCACCAGGGGCCATCAATTTTGAACCTTTTCACAATATTCTAATTTTCTGATATGATGAATTTGAGATTTTCATTTGTTGTCATTTATAATCATCAAAATTAAACAAAATAAACATCTGAAATATATGAGTTTGTATGTAATGTATGAATATAATATACAAGTTTCACTTTTTAAATGGAATTACTGAAATCAATCTACTTTTTCATGATATTCTAATTTTATGACCAGCACCTGTAAATGACTGCACTTTCTAATTCCAGCTTCCTGATGGTATTTTTAACGGATGAAGTGTGTAAAACTTTGTCTCTGCTGCAGGAACCAGAGGAGGAGATCTTAATCTCTATCACAGATCTGAGAATGATTGTGTTCCGTCTTTCAAAAGTCCTTCAATTTGTGCTACTATTTGCTTCTATTTTTGGTTTTCTGTCCATTTCTTTAAAAAATCTCAAGTGTTTAGAACTAAATAGAACAGAATAGGCAGTGGGTGTTGGTGAGACGTTTATACCACCCATTAATTTAACCAGGAAGAGGAAATAAGATCAGTACTGTTAGATCTGCAGCAGAGAAACGTCTCTCAGTTCTCAGCGGCTGATAGAAGGACAGGAGATGTTGGGTTTGGAGCTGATTCTGATCATCGTTCTTCAGTTCGAAGGTAAATTTTTTTGCTTTTTAATATTTAAGTTTGTCCGTTTTTCTTTCTCTTAGAGTATGAAAAATAGTGTGGATTTTTTTTCTGTAAAAAATAAATTTATTCAAAGAGTTTATCACTTTTCCACTCAGACGGAGAACACTGTTTCAGGATTTTTCAATTAAAAGGCTGTGAGATAAAAATATAAACACATTTTGAAATATTGTGACTGGTTTACTGAAAACATAGATATCCATTTTTGCATATATCTCTCCTTTCATTCTACTACTTCTCGTTTATGGCGTGATATTTATATATCTGCAGACAACACTGCAGCAGTTTAATCCTCAGGAGATAAATTCACGGTGATATCTTCTGGTTTCTCTTATTCAATCTTCATCTTCCGCTTCTCTGATAAAAAACAAAATCATTTTCCTTTTTCTTCCAAGTTTCTTTGCTTTTCTCACCTTTAACTCTGTCAGGCTCCCTGAAGTCCTTCAGCACTTTGAGTTCCCTCAGTAATTGCAGGATCCTCATCATCCTCATCCTCACTGTAGTGCCAGTGACTGTGAGACCGTTTAGTTGATCTGGCTATTATAAATTCAGTCGATTAAATTCAGTATAAATGTTGGTTTCTAACCAACGTTTGAGCAACTAGTTCCTTCTATTTGTGGGTTTCTTCCAGTTTCTAAGAAATAATCAAGTGTTGTAAAAACAAATAACAGAAGAGTTGGTGTGAAGAAGTTTCCCATTACAGCCTAATGAGCCTAAAAGAGGAAATTAGTTCATTATTTTTAGATCTGCAGCAGAGAAACGTCTGTCAGTTCTCAACGGCTGATAGAAAGACAGGAGATGTTGGGTCTGGTACTGATTCGGATCATTGTTAAGACATTTTTTCCTTTCAAATGAAGCTGAAAAAATTAAAGGACACTTTGGTTTGCAGAGATATTTAATTGAGATATCATAAATGGAGTTCATCTGTGTTGCCTCTGCGATGGACCTGTCCAGGGCGGACCCCGCCTCTCACCCGCAGACAGTTGGAGATAGGCACCAGCACCTTGCAACCCCAGCTTAGAAAAAAGGGTCATGGAAAACGTGTCATGATTTTATCAAGAGCTCGGACCCACAAGCAGAAAAAACCAATACAGAGAGACCAGGGGAAAGTTTAACTGGTTTATTGAGGAGATTGTGAAGAATCCAGTGTTGCTCTGAACACTGCTCAACCGGAACTGGAAAGTGAGGGGAAGACACTGCGGTTAGTTCAGGCTCAGTGGGAAATTTGATTCTTAAACTTGAAGAGGAGAAATAGATTGCAGACTCACGTTTCCAGAAAAGTGGTTGACTCTTTGACTCCTGTCGGTGTGGGATGTTCCAGTGTTTGTCTCATTCGGTGGAGGGCGGACAGGGTTTACCCAGGATGCGGTTGTTTGTTGGTGAACGAAGAAACTGACTGCCACTTAGATTTCCTGCGGTACTTGAACGGGTTGTTGTGGAGATGAATCCCTTGCTCAGTGTGAAGCTCAAACGATCCCTTGGAGGAAAGTAGATCCAAACCTCCAGTTTGAATCCCCAGCTCAGTTTGAAGCTCAGATTATCCTTCCAGGGAGAGAAGGTCCAAAACAGCCAGTTTGCAGGATGACTTCCTGCCGAGAGGCAAAGACAAAAATAACAAAGTTAAGACTCAGGTTTACAAAAACTCAGTTTGACTCAGCAAAACTCAGCTTGGCTAGAGTACCCAAAACTGGCAAACACTCAGGCGTCGAGGTAGTGGCAGTCAGCAGCTTAAGAGCACTCCGTTAATGAGGTAACCCTCCGAAGGTGTGTGAGGAGGCGAACCAGGACCAGGCGCCGCCTGGTGGAGGAAGGAAGACAAACACACAAAACACAAACCACACAGACAGGAAAACAAAATGGATGGATGTGTTGCATGAGTTAGTCGATTAGTTGATGTAATGTGTCATTACATCAACTAATCGACTAAGGTGTGGGAAACGTGATCTACCTGAACAATTTTTTTTATATAATTCAATTCTCAGTAAAAATCACACAATTACCAGAGCCTCTCTTTATCGCAGTCAGTCATCATCACTATCGGTAGCTTTATCCTCACTTGAATCAATAGACACTTGTGCCACTATAGACATACAGTAGCAGCCATTCAAAATGACCCTTCCCAGTCAAAAGCCAGCCAAATGGCAGCAAAATCCCCTTCAACTTCCAGCCAATGGAGTGACCCCCTATTGCATATATATTTTTACTTTGACTCCACCTGTTCATTGATTTATAGGATCTGACCAGGAGATGACACTTTTTTTTTTAGATCTTAATGCCCACAAATCATAACAGAAAGAATATTTTAGACGTTTAAAAATGAATTGTAGGCAACTAGCCAAGGGCCCATGAAGGAAAGTGGGGAAATTCTGAATGGCTACTGCTGTAATTGCAACAACAAATTGCTTTTCTTCATAACATCCTAATTTATATACTACAGTAAGATTTAACATAACCACTCTCTCCAGACAAGACTCTGCGGTACATCTACAGAAGAAAACATTCAAAATTTTCCCCACTTCCCTTGATGGGTCCTTTACTGGTCCTTGGCTAGTCCCCTACAATTTCTTTTTTAAACATCTAAAATCTTCTTTCTGTCGTGATTTGTGGACATTGAGATCTAAAGAGGAGCGACTGACTGAGAATATTCACCAGTAAAACCAGCATTATTTGCTGTAAAAAGAGATTCTGCAGATATTGCATACTCCAGAATAACAGAACGAACTGCTGATGTATGACGTTCAATTTAGTGGACAGGTGATCAATTAAGAATTTCTTCCTAAATAGAGTTTTTATATGTAAAATAAATCATTAATATACTCCACTGTTCTTGCAATCAATGTGTTTTACCTGCAAAGGTTTTCTACTGTATTACAGTTAACAAGATATCTGAGTTGTTAAGGATTATTTGTTGTCTGTAGACCATTTTGAATTTGAGAAAATGTTGATACCCTCATAGTTGATGGCCATAAGATGGCAGTTTGTGTCAAATGATATATAGAATAAAAACCTATGATAAACAAAAAATTGGATTTTAAATAGCTGCCAACTGCAGAGACGAATAAGCATGAAAAGATTAAAGGACACTTTGGTTTACTGAGATATTTAATTGAGATATGACAATTTAAATCTAGTATCTGTAGGATAATTTCGTTAGAATGTATTGGTCAATCAGGTTTTAACCAAATATATAAACATTCAGAAAAGGAGAATACAATGGGTTTTTTTCTCAGATGTCTTACCTGACAGGAATGAAAATGTAAATTGTTTTTCACTTTAAAATGTCTTACATAGATTTTTTAAAAGGTTTTAAGTCAATTGAAAAATATATAAATTATTAAAAGATTATGAAAAATTAAATCATTGACTAAATATTTCTGATGGTTTTTTCTATGGTTGTATTTATAAAGGATAAAACGTGTAAAACTTGAAAGTGTCTTTGTCTCTGGTGCAGGAACTGAAGGAGGTGATCTTCATCTCTATCATAGATCTGGAGATGATGCCGTTCTACGTTGTAACAGTTCTACAAATTCTCCCTCCTGCTCCACTATTAACTGGTTTTACAGCAGAGATTCGCCCACTGATCATCAGCAGCAGGTTAAGAATGGAAAAGTTCAGAGTTCACCTCGAGCTGCCAGGTTAAATGTGGACAGTAACTGCTCTCTGATCATCAACAACATCACTGCTGAAGATGCTGGATGTTATTTCTATCGATTTGGTTCAGGATCCACCTATGATGGATTTGTGTTTCTGAACGTTCTAACCAGTGAGTATGTAGACCGGAATGATCTGATGCTGTCAGACTCTTTCCTTCTCATTAACATTGTGAAATACTTGTGTTGGACAGATGTTTCTGACATCAACAGTTCTGATGAATATCTGATGCAGTCAGAAGTTCAAATATTGTTCTGACAGAGTGTGAACCAATCATTTATTTAGCTCTGTGTGATGCTTCAACCACACATCAGTCCACACACTTAGTTTGACTTTACAGTCAAAGATCTGATGTTGAAAAGGTTCATTCATTTCATGGATGATTGTTTTTATACCTAACAATGATCAAATCAAACTCAATGTGGTTTTTAAATCTTATTTCTGCCTCCAACTGTGTTTTTGTTGAGTTTTCTTTGTTGGGTGTCGGCTGCTTCCTGTTTGAGCTAAAGGCGGGGCCAAGCTTTGAGCAGCCTGACATCAGGAAGTGACCTCATCAGAATGAACGTTGTGCTCAGCTGCTGTGGGGCTGTTTAGATTCAATTAGTTTCTCTTGTATTGTGTGGTTAAATGCTTTGATCAAACCACTGCATCATTTACTTTCATTTGAAAAGTTTTCTTGTTTTGTTCCATCATGCTGATAAATATCTGCTCAGATCTGCAACATTAGTGCATCAATCACCAAGAAACATGGAGACAACATATAAAGTTTCATTAGTTTTTTTTTTTATGGTTTCTTATTTTTATTCCGCTTTTCACAAACTGAGATAAAGTTGTCTTTTTAGGTTTCTCACCTTATATAAAGTTTATTCTTCATCTTTCTAACTCAGACAACAGTTTTCATTTTTCTTTCAGTCTCTCCATCTTCACCAGCTGCTGATCCAACAAAGGATGGAGATGTCACATTACAGTGTTCTCTTAATAGGTGGAGTGGGTTGGGTTCTTGTCCAGAGAACAGCCTCCTCTGGATGGATGATAGAGGAACTAATCTGACTGGTGAAGGTGTTGGCTACCAGTTTAGAGGAAAGACTGGCTGTGATTCTCATCTCACTGTGAAGCTTCAGAGCAGCAGCAGAAGACGATACACCTGCCAGTTTATTGAGGGAAACACAGTGAAGATAGAAGCTCACTACCAGCTGGAAGGTATGATGTCATCTTTATAAGGTAAAGGTTGAATTAAAATCTGTCATTAAATCTATGCCATGCATGTTGAAGCTTAGCAGTACTGGTTTATACTTTAGTATGCTTTATGGGTTTTTAACCATGGTCATTGCATATTTTATCATCTTTGTATCCCAGAAGCAGTTCCTCCCAAAAACACCAACATCATCAACATCCTCCTTGGTGCAGTTCTGGTGCCGCTGGTTGTTCTGGCTGTTGTTTTCATCAAATGCAGGAAAACCAGAGTTAAAGAGGATCATAGAACCACAACAGGTACTGGATCTTTAAACTACAGAGCGAACCTAAAGCATCTGTAGACACAGAAGCTTTTATTGGTTATTGTTATAAAATTTACCAACTTCAATACAGACAAACACCTGATCATGGCACCAAAATATTCATTGAAAAACGACTTTGTTAAAAATTTGCATGTTTCCCATTGATTTTTGCAACGACAGTTCACATAATATAATGGTCAGTGTAAATGCAACTTATGGCGCCATTGTAACCAATCACACGATTTCCCAAAAAATTATAACACAATCCACTGGACTTTTTTCCAAGTTTGAAGCTTTTTCAATTCAATTGAAAAGGCTTCCAGGATGGGAAGCAAAACATCAATCCAGTGGATTGTTTTTTACTGTTTTGGTAATTACTATGACCTTGATGACTGAGAATCTTCAGCTTTTTTACTTATTTTAAGAAAAAATTGATTTAGATTTACATTTCTTTGCAGTGTGTAAAGCGTCCAGCAACACATCTAGGTGTTATGAAAGAGGATTAGGGCCACTGAAAAAAAAAAATGTTAACTGATTTTTTTATTTTATTTCAGTTTAACACAGAATTCTGACTTTAATCTCAGAATTCTGACTTTTTTCTCAGAATTCTGACTTTAATCTCAGAATTCTGACTTTTTTCTCAGAATTCTGACTTTAATCTCAGAATTCTGACAGATAATAAACATTTTAGCATCAAGCCATAGCCATGTCTGTTTTAAGATCCAAAATTCTGAGATTAAAGTCAGAATTTTGAGGAAAAAGTCAGAATTCTGAGATTAGAGTCAGAATTCTGAGAAAAAAAGTCTGAATTCTGAGATTAAATTCAGAATTCTGAGATTAAAGTCAGAATTCTGACTTTTTTTCCCATATTAAACTGAAATAAAATTTAAAAATCAGTTACTTTTTTTTTTTTCAGTGGCCCTAATCCTCTTCCGTAAGTTGTTTCATCCATTGTTTTTAAAATTTGTTTTTGGTCTTTGCAGAAATGCTTAAATTAATATAACTGTATTTAGGTTAATTGTTTATTTTTATTATGATCCTTCACAAAACCACAGAGTAACACAGATAGGATCAAACAATATATACATGAGATATTTCTGATTATGTAATGATAGAGCTTCACTGCAAACATTTTTAATCTAAATAAGACATTTTTTCGTAAAATTTGTGCATTTTTAGGATTTGTGCATCATATTTAGGAGGCAAGTGAGACAGTGTCAATGGAACAAGACAATTTACATTTAAAATAAGAAAAAACTATTTTATTATCTTATTCCAAGTGCATAATGTCTAATTAGCATTATTTAAGAGTAAAAATACTCATTCCACTGACTGTTCATCTTATTTAGCTGCTCAAATTAAGAGCAAATACACTTTTCTGTATTGTGGAGGATTTTCATTAATTTTTGAAATGACCCGCCCTCTCCACCAAAAAAAAATTTGCGTGTGAAAGCGTGCATGAGCCCATTTCTCCTCGTGCACACTTTGTTTAAATATTTGCTGTTCTCATAGCTTATACAAGTTTACTGTGCCCAAACATGCGCTCTAACCGCTAAATCCCTCAATCACTATATAGGGCGGGGACTATTTAGTCAACTTACCCTTCGGACAGATTTTCTTTTCTTCTCATACACTTCCAAGACACTTTTTCTCTTACGACACTCGGCCATTTTCAAAGAACCTCGTTGAGAAAGGTGAGCTTACACGACTGGCTGAAAAATAGCTAACAGGACGAGCACGTAGGACAACTTTACGTGAATATATCACCAAAATGATTGACAATTAGGAGGACCAGTTATTTAGATGATCCACCCGGAAATAAAAGATCATCCTCTGTACCTTTAATTATAGAAATTTTTACTTATTTCTAGATCATTTTTCAGTGATTAGCTGGTTTGGTTCAGTCAGTCCTCTTTAACACTGAACACAGCATGAGCTGAACTCAACACTGAACCCTGCAGGGAGTCGACTAAACGCCACAATTTTCTGCTCCGTATTTTAGAGCCTCACTCAAGCAGGAAGCTCTTCCTTTTCCAGTGAAAGATGATATAAAGGCGGAGAATAAACTATAGAAATAAAAATAAAAAAGAAAGTGCATGATACTCTAATGTACGTAAAGGTATGTTTACTGTGCAGAAACATGTCTCTGCATACCGAGGTCAAAGTTCAGCCTATTTAAACCGTAAACATGGCAACTGCATTAATTTGCAGAGCTCCATGTAGTATTAAGGTGATTTTTTTTTATATAGATAGACTTCTTTTTGTGCACGATACAATAAACACAGATGGGATTTTAAGATGATCCCCAATATTCTCCAGTTCCAAGGAACTGAGGTATTTTTACTGAAGGTGGTAAACTGACTGCGTCCTTTTAAAGTGAAGCAAACCCCCAGATTGCTGCTTCTGTGATGTTCTCATGTTTCTTTTTTTTAAGCATTTTTAAGTAAACTGCCTCTTTTATAATAATTGCTCTGAGCTCCAATGATGTTTTTAGCTCACTTTGATGTCTGACATCTGGGGAAGAACATCCCTCTGAATAAGAAATAACAGTTTCCAGAGTAACCCTGTAGTGCTATCAGGAGCTCAGTAAAAAGCAGAAGTTAGGTCTGATGATTAAAATTTTTTTCCCCAGAAATGATAATCATTTTTTTTCTTTTATTTATTTAGAGAGTCAAGATTCAACCCATGAAAGTCGTCGCCATGTGAGTAATTATGCACTGCAACACATTTGCTATAGAATTATCAGAATGCAAAAAAAAAAGTGACACTCTGTGTGTTAAAGACGGTTGGAAAATTTCAAACTTACAACTAAATACCGTTGTGATACTTCTGCATTTTATTTTAGCTCACAAAGTGTAAAGTGGCAACAAATTAATGCAGTGACTTCCTCTTTTCTGAAGTTTAGGAACATGAAAAGCTGTAACTTCTAACTCGCTTGAATCTATTCTTCCTTTCTGAGAAATAACTAAAACGTTTAATGTGTGGAACCCTTTAGGTAGACCAGACAGACCGTACTGAAGTTAATATTCTTTGACGGGGCACGTCCCAGTTTGGTTCAACTGGGGCCTGTTTTGCTACTTGGTATATTAAGGTGAGATGTAAATAATCCATTCTTATTTACCGTAAATCCTCTAATATTGGCCTGTATTCCATTAGCAGCCGGGTCTCTAATAATGGCCTGTCTGGCTGTCGGCAGAAGTAAATACTGGCCGGACTCTTATACAGGCCGGGGCTATAATTAGAACCAACAATGTCCCTGGGCAGTCCTCAACAACTTGTCATAGTAACATACAAGTACTACAGGGGGGACATATTTGCTAACGAATCCAAGGCATTAGCATGGGAAGTCCCATCCTTAGCGAGAACGCTGGGACCCTTTTTCCACCTGGATCTCCGCTATTTTTCACCGTCATATCCCTCCGTTGTCGGACTACTCGCCCCCACTTCCTAATATTTTTGCATGGGAAGTCCCATCCTTAGCGCAGACAGTGCCGCAGACAGGAGGTCGGCTTGTTTTGTTTTTATGACCGAAATTGCGGAAAACAACACGTGAAGTTTCACCAGCTACAAGAGCGAGGTGCGCGAGAACGCTGGGACCCTTTTTCCACCTGGATCTCTGCTCTTTTTCACCGTCATGTCACTCCGTTGTCGGACTACTCGCCCCCACTTCCTCACCGCCTTGGCCGTATCTAGACCCACAGTCTATTATAGCGCGGACCACGCTTCAATATTACAGTAAGCATTAATAAAAAAATTCTGTGTCAAGCTCATTGTGACACACTGCTGTAGGAGTATAACCAGTCACACAATCATTCTGATCTGAAAGACAGATGTGATTACCGGCAGGTCTGGTGGTAACCAGGCAGCGTTAAAATGACAGAATTTCGTTGCCCTTCGTTGTTCTGAATTTCTATTGAAATATATGATACCGGCAGCCTACTTCCACTTAGCCTGCCTCAAATAAAATTTCGCTGTGATGGCAGAACAGTCGCAAGTCAGTTTGGCCAAGGTTCCATTCTGTCTCCTTTTTTTTTTTTTGTATTGCCGTGCAGAAAAATTGCAGCTGCTGGAAGATGTCTGAATAATGTTCTGTATACCGTTATGTTAACTGTACTTTTTCAATAAATGAACCTAGTATTTTATAGGTTCAAAGAGACACAAAATCTTGTTTTTTTCATTCCCCTGGTAATCTGTTTTGATCAAATAGAAATAGAGGCCTGCCTCTAATTCTGGCCTCCTTCCAATAATGGCCTGGACCAAGATGTACCCGAGTGAAATAAAGGCCCCGGCCTATATTAGAGGATTTACGGTAATAAAGGATTATTTGCATGGATTCACACTGCAAAAGCTATGTAATTATGCGTAAAACATCTATAAAATAAGTGTATTTACCTTTAATTGGAGTAGGTAAATAAGATCATCTACCAATGGAATAAGTATCTTACCCTTAAAATAATATAATTAGATAATATGCACTTGAAATTAGAGAGCCCAGTTATTCTATCTTATTTTAAATGTAAATTGACTCTTTCCATTGGCAAAGTGTCTCACTTACCTTCTCAATTCATGAAAAAACAAACATTTTAAGAAAAATGGATTTACTTAGATTTCATGTTCTGCAGTGTAATTGAATGAATCCAAGGCTTGTGGTCGAGTCTTTGATCTTTCCTAAAAACAGGCTGAAAAATCGCAAACAGTGTGGATTGAAAACAATGAACCAGAAGCACAGTTCTCTCCTGAGTGCAACAAGTGTCAAATTATTATAAATAACTGCCCAAGTCATGAGTTTATTTAAAAAAAGCAATATATTCAAATTAGGAAATGGCAGAAAAGGCTATTAACAGACATGACACTGAGAGTAGAGATCCATGAGCTGCTGCTCTATGTGTGCCGCCATCTTAGATGGGAAAAAGTATTCAAGTGTGCCTCAATGTTCTGCCCTGTTCTGGTTAGAAAAAAGTTTCTCTCACTAACTCAAACCGTGCAGAAAGGCTGTGAAGGTTGTCAGAGCACAGTTAAACAAAAGAAGTACAGACAGCTGATGGAAACCTGAAAAAGCTAACTTGCTATGAAAAGGATGATATTTAGATATATGCAGAGTCTTGTTCCTCCTTCCTACTATCATTGCAACCCCCACCCCCTTACAGGTAGGGACAGAAGAAAGAAAAAGACCTCGCCTGTTCAGCCAGGCCAACAATTCCCTCTAACAACCCCTTTCAGAGACATAGACAGGTATTACAGGTTAAAAGAACCCAAATGACCCCCCATAAACTAAGAGGTGGACCCGTTTGTCCGTTTAGATTTGCAGGTTTTCTAAGTTTGTTTTAGATCCCCTCTATAAAGCCTGGAACTCGACACTATTTCTGACATTTTGAATTGAAAAAGGTTCCTGGATGGAAGGAGAAACTCAAACTTGGTAACAGGTAACAAGGCCACTTTTTAACTTTTTGTAATTTTTAGACATGGTTCATTATGAGGGTAAACATTTGATAATAGGTCATTTAAACCATGTATAACTTGGATGATAATAATCTTTGAAAAATAGTGTGAACTGTTCTAAATCATAATAATCTGCCAGAATAAAGTCTAAGGGAGCTGAAGAAGCCAATGTTCAGAGTTAAGTTATCACCATGAATCCACGACTCTGTCAGGGACATAAAGTCCAACTTTTATTAAATGAAAAGGGAATCTAGAGTTAAGTTGTTTTTTGTTTTAGTAAGAAATCTTTTGTTAACAAGAGCTGATTATGATGATGACTGCCCCAGAGCTGCAGATGAGTGCAGTGGTTGGAGGTTGGTGAGTTCTATGCTGGGGATTTAGATTCAATAACCTCCAGAGATGCAGACGCCAGTTCAACGCCACTTTAGTCTACCGTCCCAAAAGGATACTTTCTCTGCACAGAATGCAGAAAAAAGGTGTCATTGCAGCCAATCAAGAAGGAGGGATAGTTGTTATCAAAGGTGGTGATTTATTGGCGTTGACCTTTGATTTATCCCCCAAAGAAATAGCCATATGAACACATTGACCAAATGCAGCATCAACTGAGCTCAGTGTTAACAGGTCTAGCCGGTTCTTCTAACTACTTTATTAGAATTAAATGTATAAAGAGGAAACTAATGGAAAGTATTCCATGTTCTGTAAACAATTTCTGACCAAAAATTGTGTCTCTGATGTCTTTGTCTCTTTTTATATCCTGAGATTGGTCCATTGTTGGCAAACCAACACAACACATTAAAATGGGCCTTAAAATATACATGAAAAGTCATGTGACGGCTGATCTGGGTCTATATATCTATGTTCCATAAAGTAACAGTGGATAAAGGTTTTCTGTCACTTTGTTTTCAGGATAAAGAGCAGTCCAACCCGACCCACGCCACTGTTAAGAGTTTCAATCCCAGAACTCCTCAGAGAAAAAAGGTAAGAGACCCAACAAGTATTGAAGATTTATAACAATCCCATTTTAAATTAGCTTGACTATTAACTCTGTGATAAGAAAGAATGACACTAACTTCATCTAAGCTGCAGGTTAAAGGCTCAGTTCTTTGATCTTTTTATTTTAAATTTTATTTTAAATTCTGTTGTTTCCTATTTTTGAAGAGGAGCATTATTTTATTTGAACATCTTAAACTAATAAAATAATTTGAATGTGTACCAGACTAAGTTTTTTGCATATTTTGTGGTTAGAAAACTCTAAAATGACCACATGCCAGAGTAAAACCTTTAACTGGAACTGAAACAGTCTGCCGTTCATGTGCTGCAGGTCACACAAGATGAAGACACTGTGACTTATTCTGTTGTCAACATTAAAGGGAAAAGAGAAGAAAACATCGATCCTAACAGCCTCTACAGCAACGCCACTAAACTCAAGTAAACCAAATGGGGAAATGAAACGTCTCATCAAGCCTCTGCCTTCATTAAACGTGTTAACAGCAAGTAGAAACTTCGATCAATGTTCCACCGATACCACAGTATTCATTTATAGCTCCTGTTGCTCATTTTTCTGTTTTTGTAAGCGAACATGAGGATTTTTTTTAGCAGAAATGTACAGTTACTGACTTATATGATTGTTTTTTGATACCTCTAATATATACAGTAAAATATGTGGATTTTACTGAACCAAAGAGATTAAACAGAAATATAGTGAGTGATGCATTAAAACACTCAGTTATTTTTCATTTAGTGATTAAAATGCTAAACTTTTTAAAACTGCCATTATCATTTCAATTCTTAAGAAATCTGGATATAATCACAATAACTGCAATAATCTAAGCCCTATTTCTTAGTTACCTTTCATATTAACTATATTGTAAAAACCTTCAATTCCATTAAAATCCCAACAATCTCTATGATCATTTCCAGTCTGGTTTCTGCCCCCTTCTTAGCACAGCCATCGCCCTCCTAAAGACAACCAATGATCTTTTGATGTAAGGAAACTCTAGTCTTAATTCAACTGGCATCACTCATACTCCCTTTACCTTGTTTCATTCTTACCATTTTGGCTTCAGTTAGTTCATTCAGATGATGTCTTATCGTTCAAATCCCTCTCCAATAACAACTGGTGTACCCCAAGGCTCCAACCAAGGACCCCTACTCTTTAACATATAATGTCTTGGCAATATCCTCAAGATATTTAGGTTTCATTTTCACTGCAAGATCGATGCCTAATATGTAGCGTTCTAATCTGTGTATTTTGTGTATTTGTCTGGAGCTGTAGAAAGCCGCTCCCTTCAGGCTCAGCCAATCTTAAAGTGGTAATAGAATAGTTCTATAGGGTATTTGGTGCTGGTCCTTAAGGTCTCTGAATAGGGTGTGTAACATTGTTTAGGCTGAAAATGGCATATTAGCTGTTCTATGAGCCGTAATGCAGCCTGGTTAAAAGCCTCAGAATGAAACAACAGGTTTTCATCCTTTTATGGTATGATAATGAATATTTGGATGAGCTGTGCGCTGATTGGTTGGTTTACAACAAGTGAAGCTGCTGAGCAAAGATGCATCATAGCAACAACCACTCATTCACTGAAACATCAAATTGTTGATATGGTAGGGTGACCAGACGTCCTCTTTTTCCCGGACATGGCCGCCTTTTTATACCTAAAAGAATGTCCAGGGGGAATTTCATAATCGTTCAGGATTTTGGTCGACTACAGTGCAGCACGTAGTCGAAAAACACCGGGCACTGGAACCGAGCTGTCAGCTCCGGGGCTGTCCAGGAACCCCGGTGAACGGGGGTAGGGAACCAGCAGGGGACGGTAGCCTGGATGCAGCCCCGTGCTTCTCCCCGCCTGCCTTACCCCCAGCCCCCCAGTCCAGTCCAGTCAGCAGCCCAGCAGTTGACACTTCCCCCCAACCAAGCCCAAGTTTAGCGACAGAATCATCCTTCCAGCCTGCAGTTGTGATGGCCTTATGGTCAGAACAGCCCCTCGTATCAGTAAAAGAAGTTTAGCAAATCCTCCTCTGAACTGTCCATGATTGAAAGCTGTCTTCGGTAAAATGCTTAGAGCAAATAAACAGCTGAGCATTTTACTTTTCAGGGATTTTCTGATAGACGAAAATAATCCATGCCTGTCAAGTCTTTGAATCCTTGGGAAGACTGTGAAAAATGTTCACCTTCCTCCATGCAGCCTGGAACACTGCATTTACGCCTGTGGTTCTGGCTCAGTAAACCCAACTGTAGGCTAAACAGCTAAACTGGTGTCTTCCATCTACCTCTATTCATGTTCTTGGGCAGGGAACCAGAGGGCTGGTCTTGTTGTCAAATTCAGGGCGTGACAAAAGTACGAGCTAGAACCAAATAAAGCAACATTACCAATTTCACGTCAACTCTGTGCTTCTTTTGGATTCGCCCGTTTTATGGTGGAAGTTTATTTGCAGAGAAAGGAGGTTTTGATGGGGTTTGAACTTCTCTGTACGTCCATTTCACCCACTGAACTATCGTTATTCATCTATGACAATGGAAACTGGATTTTGCATTCTATGACCCCTTTAAAGGGTACGCTTTTTATTTTGTAAACATTCTGTGTATACAAAATGACAATAACAGTTGTCTAAGTCATTTTCACTGCTATGACACTCAGCTCTATCTTTACTATAAGCCAACCCCCCTAAAACACAAGACATCATTTAGATGTTGGTTTTTAGGCTAAATATGGTCGGTCCGTGATAGTCTTAATGATCTGAAAATTACTGCCTTTCACTTTTTAGCCATGTTTGGTTGTAAATTATGTCATCTTTTCAAATGTCTTTTTACCTAATTTATGACTTGGATCAGTGGGAAGTCTTCACTACCAACTCCTTCTTAAAAGAAATTGTCATGTTTGGCTTAAGGTTCCTAACCCACATGCAGAACACACTAAGGCTGGAAAAAAGTTCAAAGATTTATTGAAATGATTCTGTTCAAAGAATAAACAGATCCAGGGGTTATTCAGATCCAGGACTGGTCACTAGTGGGTTCACCGCAGAAGGGGACAGAGGAGTTAGTGGATGTCCAGGTAATTTGCAGGATGTGAGTGAGCAGGACAGTATCTGTTCAGGAGTTTGAGCTGAGCGGCAGAGGGGGGGAACCTAGAGGGTCCAGAGGCTGAGGGCTTGGCGGAGGCAGAGCTAGGTTTGAGCGTTTGCAGATCACAGATTTGAGTTTCCCTTCCGATTCTTCCGAGAGCGGACAGGCAGGTCTTTGACAGGAATTATTCTCCAGGGTTCAGACAGGCAGATTACTGACTGAGAAACTCTTTTGGGTTTCTGGTTTCAGGCAGGTTCAATCTAGGAAGCAGAGAGGAGAAAACAGATCAGGTTCAGGTTTTCAGGGAGTCAGAGGTTCAGACAGGCAGGTTGGCTCAGGCTTGCTAACCGTAACTGGCAAACACTCTGGCACTGGAGAGACGTTCTCTGCCTCCTTAAATACAGATCTCCTGATGAGCAGATGAGCGACAGGTGGTTGCAATCAGCTCCGGGTCCAGGAGATCTCGTACGCCCTCTGGTGGAGAAAGTGGACAGACCTCCAGATCCCAACAGAAATAAAGTCCTGCTTAAAGTCCAACTTCCTTAAACTGAACAATGACCATAAAAGAGGTTCTCCTTGTAGGAATCAAATCTATATTATACAAATCTGACAGTTTATCCTTCTAATTTATAATCCATAATCTCCCCGTTGTCTCAGGTCAGGATTCTGGGAATAATCCTTGATAGCACTCTGTCCTTCATCTGTCACATCAATAATGTTTCTTTTTATTTCTATCTAAGCAATAGCAATCATCTTTCTCCCTCTCTTCCCTGTTTCCACATCCGCTCTTCTCCATAAACTTGTAACCTCCCACATTGATTACTGCAGCTGTCTCCATTTTGGTCTTCTCCAAAGATCCTTTCTTATACTTCAGGTGGTGCAGGATTCAGCAACTCGCTCCTCTTTCCATCACTTCATCCTGTTCTTATGCGGCTCCACTGGCTTCCTGTCAGGCTCATTATGCAGTTCAAAATTCTTTGTCATGATGGGTTTAAGGTTCTTAGCCCACATGCAGAACACAACGGAGGCTGGGTAAAAGTTTAACAGAGTTTATTGAATGTTTCAACAACACAAGATAATGTACAGATTCTGGAACTGGTCCGGGCTGGTTCACTGAAGTCTGCAGAGATGATAGTTTGATTAGTGGGGCAGGCAGATGAGTTATGAGTCCTTGATAATTCAGATTCTACCTTGACTGAGTCCGGGCTTCTCTTTGAGAGAGAGGGAACCGTTGGGTCCAGAGACTGTTGGTTCAGCAGAGTTCAAGAGCAGCTGCAGCGTCTAGCTTCTGACTTTGAATGGCAGACCTTGATCAGAGTTTCCAGCTCTTCACTAAGAGCAGCAGGGGAATCCACATAGGAATCTTCAGGTTTGGCTCACCAGGGCAGATTGGCAGGTTAAGCTCATCCAGAGCTTGCAGAATATAATGACAATAAAGGCTTTTTTGACTTTTTTTTTTACTTTGACTAGAGACAGGTTTCCTGTGAGGCAAAACAGAGGAGAGTTAGAATCTGATCTCTCACTAGAGACAACTAAGATTCTTTCAGTATCAGAGGCTCAGGTTGTTAACCAAACTAAGGTCAACACTGCGGCGTCGAAGCAAGGTCTGGCAGCTGGTTATAAAGGGGAGGTCTCCTGATGAGTAGATGCGTCTCAGGTGTGCTGGAAGGCTCCAGCTCCAGGAGACCCACGGCGCACTCTGCTGGAGGAAGGTGGTACAGCTCCAGATCCCAACATTCTTCTGCTTAGATTCAAGGTCCTTTAAAGCCTCATCCCTCCCTATTACTAGATCTTAGACTTAGACAACTTTCATTGTCATTTTGTAAACTCAGAGTGTAAACAAAACAAAAGTTTAGTTTTGTACAGTTTTCATGACATTCCCATTCCTTAAAGTGCAGCAGTGATCAAACGTAGTGTGGGAGAAAATACATGGTGCAAAAAAACACGTTGATATAGAAGGTCAGAGCGTTAAATAAATATTGTGCAATTATGCAGAGTTTTGGTTTGGTGTTGTCAGTTTCATGCAGTCTGTGACATGTAGGTCTACCCTTAATTTTTACTTCCTCTTCCATACATAGATCTTTGTATTCTACTAACCTTGTTGTTCCTGCTCCCTGCCTCAGCAGAGTTTCTCACACTCATCACCCACACTTTGAAACGTATTAAACATTGAGATTTGTGTCTTTGTTGAAGTCCAAATTCAAAACTCATCTGTTAAACTTTGTCTCCTCACTATGATTATCTGTTGTCTGTTACCTTTGCACTTTGGGATATTTTGTTTTTACTCTTAATGCTGTTGCTGCATTTGTCCTACTTGTACAGTCCTTGAATGCTCTGAAAGATGCTTTTAAATAAAATCTGATAAAGATGATCAGTAATAGTTTATTATTA